TTCTCTGGCACAAGCAGGGCAACCATTTAAAAGGGTAGCGGAACTTTTAAGAAACAGAATAGAAAGTCGTGCGGGGACCAGAACATCCGCGAAGTTGACGTGCTTTACTATCAGTGTTTCAGCAATCATCTACAGTAGCGCTCCACTACTACCGTTTAAACGTGCGTTCCAAGAAAAATGTTTGAAGTGCGCTCTGCACGAGAGTGATACATTCAAAAAATCCGCTAAACCGTTTCTTAAGGAGTATGAAGTCTCATCAAATTTATGATGAAGATGTAGTATAACAAAAAAAGTAAAGTGAACGAAATTTTAGAGAACTCATGAGTGCACTGACATGATTCTCCATAATATAAGTTTGTCGCGGAGAAACATATGGAATCTGAAGTCTCAGATCAGTACCTTTTTACTCTACCATTTCTCCTCTTATCAAGGTTAATTTTTTGCGGGTTTTTGATTCATCTAATGATATTATGCATAGAAGCTGCTTGTCTTTTGGTGGATTTCAACAGATTTGCATTTCTGAAAAAGCCGTAAAAATCAACGCAAAGTGGCAGCTAACACACTGACCATGATTTTGATACCCGTCTGAAAGATATTTTTTTAATCGATTTCTGATTTTTTTGCCTTCTTCGCCGTAGCTTAGAAGAAAATGGCGCTGATGTTTTAACATGTTGATATTGAATATGTTAACCATGCAAGACAGTAGCTGATAAAAAAATAATCTAATATAATAAAAAACCGATGTTAATCACAATGCAGGTGTATAGTGGTGATGAATAAACACTTTTAGCAAGTGCTCCATCAAGTCTGTGGAATTCCGCATTTCCAAATGAAGGATGGGTGATAAATCACACTCTAATCGGGTGAGATCCCTTCAAAAAACTTTTGATTTCAAATTTCTAGAAGCAGGGGTTGAAGGATATGTTAACTCGCTTTGGTTAGAGTTTATGCCCAGAGCGGCTGGCAGAGCAAGAAAAAAGAAGGAAACTGCTTGATCCAACACGATATTTTTACACTATCGGCCGTTAGTGCTGTACTTTCCTGTGTCCCCGTATCAAAAGCCGCGAATTCACTACCGCGTTTGCCACTTAACGAAATAAGTACCTTGAATGTTCAAAATCTTACACCAGCGAAAAAATCCGCAATTTCGTGTGCTTGGCCGAATTGGGATCCGGATACTATAAGCTGTTTGGTTCCAGGCTCTCCAAATCGGACCGTATCGTTGCCGTAAAATCCTTCTGCGTTTCCTTTCCCACCTTTAGTTTCGTACTGAAAAAAGCAGTAGATTTTGACCATGAAAGTGTTTAATGACAAGATTATATTCGTTTACATAAATGCTCCAATTTCCAGCCACTGGAGAATACGTAGAAGAGTTACTTGATGTGAAAAAATTTTTCCCTCTACATGCATTTGGCTTACGTCGCTTCCTTCCTTTTTCACAGCATTGCAGCACAGGACAGAATACTTGGCAGGCCACTGCAATTTCATTTTGAGTTATTATGCTTAACATCGCATGATTAGTTAGTGGAGAACCTATTGGTAAGGAAACAGTACTTTCAGCATTTGCTACACTATTCCGATGGATGTTCTCTATGAAATTACAGCCATAATGAGGCATATAGCTATAAGGTAATTGAATGAGCTCACATCCTGGGTCACATTCAGAGATATCGCATACTTCTGGATTGTCTGCTACACATGTGTAATCTGGGATCCAAAAGTAAGTAGAACTAGTGTCAAGAACAACCTGAATTTAATAAGTCCAAAGTCATACGCTTTCCAAATTTACATGATTTTGTATACCTTGAACGATTGTTCTGGAGTTCCTATCGTTATGACGCCAAGATACGATGAGTCGTAATAATTGTATAGCTTAAAATCCACTGATATTATTCGAGCTTTCGCTAATTACCTACTTTCGTTTCACCTCTATAAGCTCTCATATTAATTTTCTTCTCTTCAATCGTAGATAAGCGTCGCTTATCGACAAGGGCAATTTGCAAAAATTAGCTACTGTTATTAGGTACATTTTAGACTTACTTTTTGACTGAGCGCTTCTTCACTATCTTCGGCCTTTCCAAAACGTTCTGCCTTCAACTTTTTCAAATGCGCTGCCCACGTACCCTTACGAATCATTCGAAACATTTCAGGTTCTACTCCCACAAGTGGGATTTTGAACACATCACTCAGAACAG